TTTCCATTCACTCTGCCATCTTCTTGTCCCTTCCTGCCTTCTAAGCTTTGTTTTTGTTTCTCAACATTAAGAATATACATAGGAAAAATAAGACAAATACTGATCTCTCTCTCTCTCTCTCTCTCTTTCTCTGTAACTCAAATTTGAGTGTCTGGTTTTTTTTTTTTTTTTTTGGTAGCTTACCAGAAAAATCTTCCTGAATCTCATGGCTCAGTCCTGGGAATGAAAAATATATTTAATAAAAATCTAAACATCTAATTTCAATTTATCCAGTTTATGAACACCATATAATATCATTTAAGTAGTTCTAATCATTATGCACCATTTTATATTCTTCAAGACAAGTAAAAGATATTCTGAGAGACCAAAAGAAAGAAATTGCCCATAACTTAAATGGAGAGTTAAATTATTTAAATATACATTTAATTTTTTTCTGTTTCTCACCCTATTTACTGGAGAGTGAATACTCATTTCCCATAAATGGGTGACACACACTATCCCAAGCACAGTCTCAGATTGGCACTCCTATGCACCCAGAAGCGAGGAGGGCAAGAAGAGGCAGAACTTGGGATGCATGCTCCAGTGCGTGTACATGTGCTTACATGAACACAGATCAGGCCTGGGTGTAGCTTAGTCTTTTCTAACACTGAATATCCATTCACAGTTACTCAAAATAATAAGTTTTGATTTTCTAGGTCTTATGGCTACTCCAATCAACAAAAGAGACAGAAGTCCTTGCCTTTGTGGAACTTGTATTCTAACAAGGTGAGATGTAAGACTTATTTTTTACAAATATCTACTCTAAATTTCATCGGGTTAATATGGTTATCTGGAACTTAACAGTTTTGTGTTTTCTTAGTCCTTCTGATCCATTATCAGCAAACTAGAGTTTCATATAGTGACTACGAAATTTTTGTTTGTTTTTTATCTTTGTGCTAGATATACTATTAGCCATAAAGTATTTGAATGACAATATATGCTGGCTGGCACACAGGTTTTACTTGTATGAAATCATGGCAATGCTAATGACTGATGTATACTTTTCTGGACACCTGAGTGTTTTGTTAGAACTCCTATGAGGCCAATACTCAGATCTCATGCAAACAAAAAATGACAGAAAAACCAAGCATTCAATAGGGTCATATATATTTCTAGAAGGAAAGTTTAAGGGTTGAGGTGATTAATTTAATGAATGGGGGGTATGGGAAGAAAGAAAAACCTTATCAACTCAGACAAAATATAGGAGTAAAGGTACTTCATCAATATAGCAAAGTAGCAGAATGCCAAGTTAGCTGAGAATTTCAATCTGTATTTTAAAAAAGCAAATGAAATTTTCTTTAAGTAAGAAAACATGCTTAAAACACCATTATCAACATTACTTTCTTTTTGTTTTTGTTTTGTTTCTACCTTCTGACCAGAATAATATCACCTTCATAAAAGGACATGATTCATTTTATACAGAGAAAGGGGTGAAATTCTAGAGTCAAGTTTATTATGGATGAAAAATGATTAAGAATCTGATTACAGATTCCAAATTTAGTCCTGATTTCTTTCTTCTGATGCATCTTTAACCTCTGAAGACAGATGTAAAATGTATGGCTGATCTTTGGCCATGAAAAGACAGGGAGCTGAAGGACACAAAAGTAGCCTTATAACAGTAAGTAGCCAGTCAGCTTTGGTTCAGCATTTTACTTCTGCTGACAGAGCTGGCAAGGAACAGGTCAACGAAATGGGCTACCTACTGATGGGTGTTTACTACATGTGACAGTCCTCTGGAGAGTTGTTTATAGGTGTCAAGTACAAGAGACTCACTAAAAGTAGATAAAAAAAACTTTTTGTTATTACTGATTATGACTGCATCTAATTGTTTAAAATTTGGAAATAACACATCATACTATGCATCTGTTAGCACTTTCTTCAGTGTACATTAAAAAAAATGACCAAAAACAACAAACCAAAATAAATAAAATATTGAGTTACCTAGGCTGTAAAACAACTTATTGTCATGTTTAAAGGAAAATTGTTGTTGTTGTTGTTGTTATGTGCCGTCGAGTCGGCCCCGACTCACAACGACCCCTCCTTGGGTTTCCGAGGCAGTATCACTACGGAAGTAGGATTGCCCAACCTTCCTTCCGAGGAGTGGCTGGTGGGTTTGAACCGCCAGCC